TCCTGTATAGCCTGATATTTAATTACAATAACGATTGTATGTGAAACCAAATTAAAATTTGACCCGAAAAATTATACAGAGTGGGAGAAAATTAATATGGAACATTGGTCACTTTCAAAAGTAAGTTACTCCTTTATTTTAAATGGAACATCCAGTATATCATTCCAGTTTAATAGGGAATTCGTATATTTTCAAAATATTATTAATGTTGCTTACCCCTCAGACAAAGATGTTCCTAGATATTTTAATTATTATGATTTTGCGTCAGTAGATTTTTATTATTTGAACAAATCTAGGTGGCTGTGATATACCTCTTGTTAATTTAACAAAAATTAAAGGATGTAAAGTAAAATACACAACGATAATAAAAAAAATACTCGTTTAAAATATATTTTAATTATTACAGAATTAAAACTAGATATAAACGTATAATGATGTTTATTTAAAAATTAGGCAGATGAAATCAAATTTACTTGCTTCCTGAAATACTTCCTTTCCTGTCCAATGCATAATGATTCTCTTTTCAAAATATCTTTTCATTTTAAAAGGCATATGTGGAGTTCACTTCACTCTACAGCTACAATTTTCTGTGATTTCTCTAAGGCTTTCGATTGTGTAAATCATAATATCTTAATTAACAAATTGCAATACTATGGTTTCAGGGGAGTGCCGCTCGAATGGCTTAAGTCATATCTTGGCAACAGAAGGCAGCTTGTGAGGATTGATACGTCTATGTCTTCTTGTAAGCCTATAGAATGTGGTGTCCCTCAGGGTTCAGTACTTGACCCTATTTTGTTTCTGGTGTTTATCAACGACATTACAAATCTGGACATTAGCGGTAAAATCTGCCTCTTTGCGGACGATACTAGTTTCACTTGGAGCGGCCCAGATGTTGCGGCACTATATGATACTATATCCAGTGACTTACGCACCATTAAGTCTTGGTGCGATTCTAATCTCCTATGCCTCAACCTATCAAAAACTAAAGTTTTGTCATACAAAAGTACTATACAACCTTTTGTACTTAATAACACTACTATTGACGTCGTGGACTCTGTGAAATTCTTAGGACTTCTTGTAGACAACTCGTTAAAATGGAACTTTCACATTGAAGCTCTATCAAAGAAACTAAGCGCTGCCTGTTTTGCGCTAAGATCAGTTTCTAAGGAACTTAACTTCTCAACCTCTAGAATAGCCTATTATGCCCTCTTTGAGTCACATCTTCGTTAAGCCCTTCCATTCTGGGGTACTTGCTGCGCAACAAAATTTGATCGTGTTTTCAGACTTCAAAAGAGAGCAGTTCGATATTTATTGGGACTGAACAGTAGAACTCACTGCCAGAATTTCTTTAAAATTTCTTTGAAAATACTGACTCTTCCTTCTTTATTCATTTTTGAATCAGTTTGCTTAATCCGCAAGCACATATCTGCTATTCCCGAAAGGCTATCTCATAACTATCCACTTAGGAATGCAGAGCACGATCTTTATCTGCCAACCCCCAGCTCAGAACTAGTTAAAGGTTCAATACTGTACAATGCCAAAAAATGTACAACCATCTGCCTTTGAATATCAAATCGCTTTCATTCTTTCCCGCATTTCGCAAAGCTCTAAAATCATACCTACTGGAGAGCCCTATATGCGGTAAACGACTTTTTGTTGATGTTTAATTATGAAAAATTTTGAATTTTAAAATTTTGATCATCTCACACACTGGTCAAAGGTCAAGTATTTAATATTTTATAACTTTAAAATTATATCTATTTACTGCGTACTGTTCTAAAATTGTCCATGTATATTCTTTTTGTAATTTTAAAGACTTAAATTTTTTTGAATTGTATTATTTGTATTGTGTATTTTTTGTTGTTTGTATTTTTTTGTGATTTTGTTGTTTGTGAGTGCTTTGTCGATGAAGCTGTTTTGGCTTTTTGCACAATAAAGCGTTGTTTGTTTGTTTTTTGTTTGCTTTGTTCTACTTCGAAAAGCAGCTACAACCATTTCTCTCATGTTTTCGACGATAGTTGGTCGAGTTTTATAAACAATCTCTTTAACATATCCCCAGACTCGATAAAATTAGGAGTATTTAAGTATTATTTTAACGGGTGAATCCACACTGCATTCACCATCTAATAAGAATCATTATCAATTCTCTCTGACGTGATATAAGTTTCCATTTTTGGCAAATTTCTGAGATTTTTTGTTTGTTTTAACTGATACAAAATGATAACTAGTTTTTAAAGTTAGGACTAATTAGGCAGCTATGTTGAAGTAACGTTAGACACATTACAGCTTACCTAGATTTTATCAAATAATAAAGATCTACTGACACTAAATCATAAAAATTAAAATATCTAGGAAAGTCTTTGTTTGAGGGGTAGGCAACCTTAATAGTATTTTGAAGAGACCTGAATTCCCCATTGAATATCGGAATAATATACTTACTGGGTTTCCATTTATATTAAAGGAGTAACTTGCTTTTAAAGGAGACCAATGTTCAATATTAATTTTGTCTCACCCCGTATAACTTTTTGTGTTCCATTACAAAAAACACAACTTTGATATGTAACGTTTTTTGGGAACACCCTGTAGAACTCTTTATATTTTTTAAAAGTGCTCCGAATTGACCTACATATGCTCACAAAAATTTTATTTCAATATAAACTGTCGTTTTCCTTGGAGCTTCCGCGGCGTATGAGAGGTGCCACCCTGTATATTGTATCCTAATACTTATATATACATATATATCCTTTACCTGTATACCTTACACAGGTAAAAGAAATATGCTATTTTTATTGAAATAAACGTGTTTGAAATTAACTTTTTTTATTTAATTTAAAATATTATCTGTAGTAAAATTTGTTAAGATTTTTTATAAACAGAACTTGTAGGTATGTTGAAAAAAACGGCGTCAAAGATGGCTAGGAAATGACAATCCACGATAATTTTTCGAGGTCAATATCTAGACGTCGCTTATTAAAACATGAACTTGTGAAAAATTACCACTAAATTATACAGGGCTATTATTCACCACATACGACACGGAGTATTGTAGCTAAACGATTAGATCTTTACAAATTGTAAGTTTTGGGTTGCATTTGTATTTTTTTTTAAATAGAATGTATATTATTAAATATTTAGTTTCTACGATTAAAATAAAGGTAAATTTGATGAAGGTTACATAAACCTTACCGCTTTTGAAATATTTTCAATTTTGTGAAATTGCAGTAAAAATTTTAAGGCTTCATTTTTCCAAGGGTATCATAGTTTTTAATACCAAATATTTACTGAAGTTTATTTATTGGCCAGTTATTGTGTTGTAATAATAAAACTAATACTACCTCATACAGAGTGTCTAGAAATTTATATTAAATAATTACTAGCTTTAATCGGCAATAACTTGTTTAATTTCAATGGAACACCCTGTATATTTTAGGAGAATGAGATGTACAATTAAATTGTCTATTAAATTGTATTGTACCATTTTTTACCTATCCCTTAAAGTTTTCATAGAGAATGCATTTCTTTATAATTTATTCCTCATTTATCAATATACCCATGGAATATTGACATTTTAGATTGTTTTTAAAGCAACAAATGTACAAAATGTACAAACTGTATAGGTGCTAAAAACGTTAATATTACTAGTCCATTTGTATACAAAAAGAAAACTATTTAAATCTTTATAAAAGAGTATACCGTTAATTAAATATACCAACATTATATTTCCTCTCAAATATTAATTATTTACATACTTAATTTTATTAGTTAATAAATTATTCTAAATAAATGTGGATTTGAATCAGAAATCAATATAATAATAAGTTATGAAAATGACTCTCTGTTGTTATAAATAAGCATTCGTCAAAAAATAAAATAAAATTTTTAAGGTGTTACTTGTCGGCACACTGTCTAATACATATACAAAATTCAGTTTTTAAGTATTTGTAGCAATTATTAGTCAACGCAAACAGTTAATTAATGTAGTTAAAATACTGGAATCATATTAATTGGTTCTCTTTAATAAATATTTAAACAGTTTTTTTATTTTTTAATGAAATAAAAGAACTATATTGACAATATTAGTATCTGTACTCTTTAAAAAAATGTTACATCTTTAAAAATAATCTAAAATGTCAATATTCCACGGGTATGTTGATAAATGAGGTCTAAATTATAAGAAAATGCATTTTCTACGAAAACTTGAAGAGGTAGGTAAAAATGGTATAATACAATTTGACAGACAATTAAATTGTGCATCTGATAAAATATGCAGGGTATTACATTTATATATATTTTAATTATTTAAAATAAATCTTTAGACACTCTGTATAAGTTACTATACTTTTTATTATTGCAACACAAAATTTAGTAAATAGAAATACTTCAGTACAATATTTGGTACTAAAAACTTAAATACGTCTAGGGAAATGCAGCATTTAAATTATTACTGTATTTTGACAAAAACCTAAATATTTCAAAAACAGTAACATTAAAATGCGGTAAACCTTAATGAAATTTCCCTTAATTTTAATCGTAGAAACTAAAAATGTAATAATATACAGGGTGTTCCATTTAAAAAAATACAACTTTGATATTTTTTATTTATTTGCGAAACTCTGTATCTTGTAAAAAATGTTTCTAAATTGTAGGTCTAGTAGTCCTTCAACGAAATCTAATCGTTTAGCTATAATACCCCGTGTCGTATGTGGTGAACAATCCTGTAGAAAGATTAAAAAAGAATGGAACGTATATTGTATATTATTATTTCATGTCATATTTTGAGTGGTGCAATACCCAGTACAACGGATATAACACAAAAAGAGAGAGAAAAAAAAGAAAACGGAGTGGGTGCAAGTACCGAGTTATCGTAGCTCCTCTCAGATACTACGAGGAAGAGATCTTTGGCTGGTGCATATACACAAACGATCACAAAGAACTGAAAGCGGCAACACTCTGCTGACCTCGAGTGCAGCGGTAGTAGCAGTAGTGGTAGGAGTACTAACCGTCAGCAAATTGGTGGTGGAACTGTTGTTGCTCACGTCGCTGACCGATAGCTTGTCCGCTCTGGGGCCGAGAGCGGGGTGGCCGAAGTCGAGATCGTCGTCGGGGGGGACGCCCTCGATCTCGATGCGGATCGTCTCTATGCGCTCGCAGCGCATCTGCTCGGTTAAAATCGGGGAGGGGGGCTCTACTATCACGCTCACTTGGGGGAACTTGCACTGGAAAAAGGACCACAGCTAGCTCAACAATAATATACATAGGGGACGGGTCGCGTCTCTCATTTCTAAGGCACGGAAAAATGCAATTGGCATTTTCTTGTACTTTTGTTCTTTTTCGGAGAAGATGTATTTTTGCCAGTGAAGCATCAAGTTTTGCATCTTTTGTCAAACATTTTCAAATTGTGCCAAACATAAAGGATATAAAGCTACGGTAATCGCAAAATAATTTCCAATGCACGTGATCAACTTTGAGTGACAAGCAATGGCGACAGCGCTGCTACATTGTGAGGGATTTATGAGATGAATCTATTTAAAATTGACAAACAACATATTTATTATATCATTTTCTTGTTTTATTTTTAATTTAATAACTAATATTTTAGTAATTAATTGATTAACTTATTTTACTTATTACATATTGGCAAAAACTAGTCCATTATGAAGATTATTCTAAGCGTTATTATGGGTTATTTATTTATTTATTGATGTACATCTTACAACGCCATAAGTGGTAATAGTAATAAGTGGCAAAAAATATATGTATAATAATTAAAAAGTCGTTTACACAGTTTACTTCAATTAAATTATTTTTATATACAGGGTGCTCCGAACTGTATTCCGGACACTTCGAAAGCATGTTCTGCTAATAAAAACAAGTAAAAAAGTTCGTATAAATGTATGTCCTAAACTGCTTAGTTTCGGAGATACAGGGTGTACAAATTTCATTTTTATTTTCATTTTTTCCAATTAATTTCTGAAATAACGTCAATATTTAGATGAAAATTGGCGTCTGAGAGTTTTTTTACATGAGAAATTTGATTTTGATGTCAATATGACTTCAATTTATAGAGGTCTACATGAATTTTAACTGGTTTGAAGAGTAATAACTTTTTGTCCGTACCTGTATAAAACCAATGCGTCAAAATCTTTGAATGTCAAAATATATACATCTCCGTGACGTTTTACGTAAAAAATCAGGGCTGTATCTGGGGGGGTGTTTTGGGGGTTCAATCCTCCCCCCCCCCCACCCCCCGAAATTATGGCCGAAAATTTTTAAAAAGTAATGATCATTAAGTAAGTAAGTAGGAACGAAACAAAAAAGAAGAAGAAGAAGATGGATGAATATCAATAACTAAAGAATACAAGGACATGTAACGCCCATATACGGGCTGCAGCAGAATTTGTGACCTTAGACGCCAACTTTTTAGACATAACGAATGAATCATCAGCTGGTCATCAACGACAATTTTTGGCGATTTTTAATAGTTGGTTGTGTGTAGTGAACTTTGTATAAACTTTATTACAATGGTAATTTGTTCAGCTTTCAAGTGTAAAAGGCAATGATAAGAAAGAGCCAGAAGTTACGTTTTAGAGGGAAATAAACAGTCCCCTACACCTTTTTAGCGTTTTTTTATTGAAGTCAATAATTATTTTTCTGATATTATATGTATTTGATATGTACTATACGTCGATACTAGTTATGTACCTTTTGTTAACATTTTAATACGTTTTTTTCGTAATTAATTAGTATGATACCACCCGATACACCATAGGCCTAGTGAAAACATATAATATCAAAAATATAAATATCCCTTCAAGCGGCAATGTTAAGAAAGAGCCAGAAGTTACGTTTTATAGGAAAATTAACAGTCTCCTACACCTTTTTAGCGTTTTTTTATTGAATTCGATAATTATTTTTCTGATATTGAGTAAAATATGTGCCACGGCACTGTTTGGAAGGATGGTCACAGTTTGGTCTCGGGTGCTATTTGTCCTTGTATTCTTTAGTCATTGATAAATATACATTATACAATGCAAATGTCATTTTCGATTTTCGACTTCAAGGACATTCAAGTGTTTAAAACAGCAAAAGTTTGACAAGGACAAGATTTTGAATGTTGTGTGTTTTGCTGGTCATTAACGTGATTAACGTTTGTTATTGTTCTGCTATTAGACAAAGAATTCTTGGACTATGACACTTTAGCGGCAGAACTAGACTTGTGGCGGCAAAAATGGAAGCAGCTACCTGCAGTCGACCGACTATGTGTAATCAGTGTATATTTCCAAATATATACATTTTATTAACGATCCTAGCAACTCTACAAGTGTCAACAGCTACACCAGAAAGGTCTTTTTCAACCCTAATGCTGCAACCGCACATGCGGTATTCGGCGATCTCCGATCGGGGCTTCGCCGATTTCCTATGTGTGTGGATGAGGAAGTCGGAGTTCGGCGACCCGATCGGCGACGAGAACGAGCGCTCGTCTCTATGTTGTTGCTATCTATATAGCATGTGTGGATGGAAAGGTGAAGTCCGATCACGAGCGTTCGGTAGTTGACGAGTGCTCGGAGTTCGCTAAATGCCGCATGTGCGGTTGCGGCATAAGACGATTGAAGGACTTCCTACGTAACTCTACAGGTCAGGAGCGATTGACAGGACTTGCTCTATTAAGCGTACATAGAGAAATAAATATTGATATCGAAGAGGTAGTCAATCGTTTTTCCAGGGAAAAGACCCAGTTTATCCTTTAAGATTAATAATTTTTACTTGTTACTTTCTTAAAATTTTATTTTCAATTAAGATTTGAGTGTAGCCCAAAGCGATTTTTTTATTATGCTTTTTTCCTAACAGCTTTTGTACCCCCCCTCCTTCAAGCCAACCCCCCGAAATTTTGGTCTAGATATGGCCCTGTAAAAAATGTCTTTCGGTAAAAATCGTGACGAGCAACCGTTCTCAAGATATTTAGAATGGAGATAGTCAATACAAGTCGTTATTGACAAAAAATAAACACGTTGAGCTCAAAAAATAAATTTGAGAAATTTTTATTTTTTTAAATTAATCATATTTTTTGGCGAAAAAGTGATGATAAAACAGTTTCAGTTGGAGTTTTGACAATAAAACATTTCAAATTTATGATTTCAATCTAATAACTCAAGTCAACTAAGTCAACACGTTTAATTTTATGACAATGATGACAGGTATTGATAATTTCGATTTCAAATATCTCGAGAACTATTACTCGTAACGATTTTTACCAAGAGACCTTTTCTACGTAAAAAACATCGTAAATGTATATTCTTTTACTCAGTAGTTTTATACAGGTATGGACGAAAAAATATTCCTCTTTAAATCAGTTGAAAAACAATATGTATGTGGCGCCCTCTACAAGTAAGAGCCATATTGATATCAAAATAAAATTTCTCATGTCAAAAAGCTTCCAGACATCAATTTTCATCCAAATATTGACGTTACTTCAGAAATTATTTAGAAAAAAATCGAAATAAAAATGAATCTTCTACACCCTGTATCTCCGAAACTAAGCATTTTAGTACATATATTTAAACGAACTTTTTTACTTATTTTATTGTGCAGAATATGCTGTCGAAGTTTCCGGAATACAGTTCAGACCACCCTGTATATTTGCCATTTGTATAATGCCATCCCTGATGTTAATTGTTCTTGAGGTAGGTTTTATCAAAAGGAGTGGTATGTTAGGCTGGACGGTTATCAGGAGAAATTGTGTATCCCATCTTTTTATAACACTTTGAATATGCAAATGACATGTGTTTTACTTCTAAAAATATCCATAAATTATTTACATTAACCTACGAGTATATACATTAGATACTAATAAGCTAATAAACAACACACACTAAGAAACAAGGAGTGCATTTTTACTGGTTGCTGTACTAATAAAATGTAAATAAAACGTGTGTCTCTAAGTCTCACTAAATTCTACAAATAATAATTATAAAGCGTTAAAAAGAAATAAATTTGCATTAAAGAATGATACATTTAAATTAATCAATATTAATATGAATTCTCGATGCATTATCCTTCTATAGACTACAATAATAGTAATAATGATAGATTATTCTCATTTATACTTAGTAAGTTAGCAAAGGTCGACTGATAATATCCATTAGTTCTAAAGATCTACCTAATGTTTGTAAAAAAGTTCGTATACTAAATATAATACAGAAAAAAAAATATTAAATTAAATAAAACTTTTAAAAATAGAATATCGGTTGTTTCGATTTCTTACGGCCGTATTCATAGTCGATCGCCAGCCGCCCGCTGGCGGAAGCTTTCCCGAAATTCTTCGTTCTTATTTCACAGTCGAGCGCTCTCCGAGTAACGCGTGCGCACATCCGTCATATAGAGGAACCGCTCTCTCGCCGGCGGGCGGTTGGATACGCATTTTTTTTCCGTTTCATAGTCGATCTCCAGGCGAAGAACACTTGCGCAGTTTAAACCCCATCCGGTGATTTTCGGCCGGCGACTGGAGCATGTCCTATCTCCGGGCGGCCCGCCAGTTTAGTCTGGTTTATTTTTCTAGTTGAAAGACGCACCAAACAAACTGAATTAATTATGGATATTTATAATATTGTGACGATTAAATGTACAATTAAATGCAGAAATCGACGAGAACGATGACATACGTATTTTTGAGGCCATTATTCATTACATTGGAGGCATATGAATTCCGTCCGTCTATTTGACCATTTAAATGTTTTATCGTTTTGGTTTTGTTATGTTTATAATTTTTTATTTTTCCTATTGTTTTTTCGTTTATGACATTAATTCTCTTTGTAATTTACACAAACTGATGGAAAAAATATACGAAATTCACAAAACATTTAAAAATATAAATTACTTCTACTATGGTCATATTTTCCCTTAAAATAATTTTAAAAGGTTTTTTAAGGTTAAACCTTAACCTTAAAAAAATTTTAAGGTTAAGGTCTATAAAAATTTATAAACGTAATAAAAACGAATCCATAAAACTTTCAAATAATCGAACAGACCTTAAATTCCCCATTATGTAAATTATTAACTTAATATCCCTTTTATTATGACCCAAAAATATACCTAGCCAAAAAAATATGTATATAAAAAATTGTAAATCTTTTTACTATAAGTGAAGGATTACGAAGATATTATTCATTACTTTAAAACGAATTATAACAAAATAATGGACACATCAATAAAATATTTA